TGGGTGAGAGGGAATGAGAGCGTATGAGAGTGGGTGAGAGGGAATGAGAGCGTATGAGAGTGGGTTAGAGGGAATGAGAGAGTGTGAGAATGGGTGAGAGGGAATGAGAGCGTATGAGTGTGGGTGAGAGGGAATGAGAGCGTATGAGTGTGGGTGAGAGGGAATGAGAGGGTATGAGAGTGGGTGAGAGGGAATGAGAGCGTATGAGAGTGGGTGAGAGGGAATGAGAGCGTGAGAGAGTGGGTGAGAGGGAATGAGAGCGTATGAGAGTGGGTGAGAGGGAATGAGAGTGTGTGAGAGGGGATGAGAGGGGATGAGAGGGGATGGGAGGGGTTGAGAGCGTATGAGAGTGGATGAGAGTGGATGAGAGCGTATGAGAGAGTATGAGAGTGGGTGAGAGGGAATGAGAGAGTATGAGAGTGGGTGAGAGGGAATGAGAGCGTATGAGTGTGGATGAGAGCGTATGAGAGAGTATGAGAGTGGGTGAGAGGGAATGAGAGCGTATGAGAGTGGGTGAGAGGGAATGAGAGCGTATGAGAGTGGGTTAGAGGGAATGAGAGAGTGTGAGAATGGGTGAGAGGGAATGAGAGCGTATGAGTGTGGGTGAGAGGGAATGAGAGCGTATGAGTGTGGGTGAGAGGGAATGAGAGGGTATGAGAGTGGGTGAGAGGGAATGAGAGCGTATGAGAGTGGGTGAGAGGGAATGAGAGGGGATGGGAGGGGTTGAGAGCGTATGAGAGTGGATGAGAGTGGATGAGAGCGTATGAGAGAGTATGAGAGTGGGTGAGAGGGAATGAGAGAGTATGAGAGTGGGTGAGAGGGAATGAGAGCGTATGAGTGTGGATGAGAGCGTATGAGAGAGTATGAGAGTGGGTGAGAGGGAATGAGAGCGTATGAGAGTGGGTGAGAGGGAATGAGAGCGTATGAGAGTGGGTTAGAGGGAATGAGAGAGTGTGAGAATGGGTGAGAGGGAATGAGAGCGTATGAGTGTGGGTGAGAGGGAATGAGAGCGTATGAGTGTGGGTGAGAGGGAATGAGAGGGTATGAGAGTGGGTGAGAGGGAATGAGAGCGTATGAGAGTGGGTGAGAGGGAATGAGAGCGTGAGAGAGTGGGTGAGAGGGAATGAGAGCGTATGAGAGTGGGTGAGACGGAATGAGAGCGTATGAGAGTGGGTGAGAGGGAATGAGAGCGTATGAGAGTGGGTGAGAGGGAATGAGAGCGTATGAGAGTGGGTGAGAGGGAATGAGAGCGTATGAGAGTGGGTGAGAGGGAATGAGAGCGTATGAGAGTGGGTGAGAGGGAATGAGAGCGTATGAGAGTGGGTGAGAGGGAATGAGAGCGTGAGAGAGTGGGTGAGAGGGAATGAGAGCGTATGAGAGTGGGTGAGAGGGAATGAGAGCGTATGAGAGTGGGTGAGAGGGAATGAGAGCGTATGAGAGTGGGTGAGAGGGAATGAGAGCATTTGAGAGTGGGTGAGAGGGAATGAGAGTGTGTGAGAGGGGATGAGAGGGGATGAGAGGGGATGGGAGGGGTTGAGAGCGTATGAGAGTGGATGAGAGTGGATGAGAGCGTATGAGAGAGTATGAGAGTGGGTGAGAGGGAATGAGAGAGTATGAGAGTGGGTGAGAGGGAATGAGAGCGTATGAGTGTGGATGAGAGCGTATGAGAGAGTATGAGAGTGGGTGAGAGGGAATGAGAGCGTATGAGAGTGGGTGAGAGGGAATGAGAGCGTATGAGAGTGGGTTAGAGGGAATGAGAGAGTGTGAGAATGGGTGAGAGGGAATGAGAGCGTATGAGTGTGGGTGAGAGGGAATGAGAGCGTATGAGTGTGGGTGAGAGGGAATGAGAGGGTATGAGAGTGGGTGAGAGGGAATGAGAGCGTATGAGAGTGGGTGAGAGGGAATGAGAGCGTGAGAGAGTGGGTGAGAGGGAATGAGAGCGTATGAGAGTGGGTGAGAGGGAATGAGAGCGTATGAGAGTGGGTGAGAGGGAATGAGAGCGTATGAGAGTGGGTGAGAGGGAATGAGAGCGTATGAGAGTGGGTGAGAGGGAATGAGAGCGTATGAGAGTGGGTGAGAGGGAATGAGAGCGTATGAGAGTGGGTGAGAGGGAATGAGAGCGTATGAGAGTGGGTTAGAGGGAATGAGAGCGTATGAGAGTGGGTGAGAGGGAATGAGAGCGTGAGAGAGTGGGTGAGAGGGAATGAGAGCGTATGAGAGTGGGTGAGAGGGAATGAGAGCGTATGAGAGTGGGTGAGAGGGAATGAGAGCGTATGAGAGTGGGTGAGAGGGAATGAGAGCGTATGAGAGTGGGTGACAGGGAATGAGAGAGTATGAGAGTGGGTGAGAGGGAATGAGAGCGTATGAGTGTGGATGAGAGCGTATGAGAGAGTATGAGAGTGGGTGAGAGGGAATGAGAGCGTATGAGTGTGGATGAGAGCGTATGAGAGAGTATGAGAGTGGGTGAGAGGGAATGAGAGCGTATGAGAGTGGGTGAGAGGGAATGAGAGCGTATGAGAGTGGGTTAGAGGGAATGAGAGAGTGTGAGAATGGGTGAGAGGGAATGAGAGCGTATGAGTGTGGGTGAGAGGGAATGAGAGCGTATGAGTGTGGGTGAGAGGGAATGAGAGGGTATGAGAGTGGGTGAGAGGGAATGAGAGCGTATGAGAGTGGGTGAGAGGGAATGAGAGCGTGAGAGAGTGGGTGAGAGGGAATGAGAGCGTATGAGAGTGGGTGAGAGGGAATGAGAGCGTATGAGAGTGGGTGAGAGGGAATGAGAGCGTATGAGAGTGGGTGAGAGGGAATGAGAGCGTATGAGAGTGGGTGAGAGGGAATGAGAGCGTATGAGAGTGGGTGAGAGGGAATGAGAGCGTATGAGAGTGGGTGAGAGGGAATGAGAGCGTATGAGAGTGGGTGAGAGGGAATGAGAGCGTGAGAGAGTGGGTGAGAGGGAATGAGAGCGTATGAGAGTGGGTGAGAGGGAATGAGAGCGTATGAGAGTGGGTGAGAGGGAATGAGAGCGTATGAGAGTGGGTGAGAGGGAATGAGAGCATTTGAGAGTGGGTGAGAGGGAATGAGAGTGTGTGAGAGGGGATGAGAGGGGATGAGAGGGGATGGGAGGGGTTGAGAGCGTATGAGAGTGGATGAGAGTGGATGAGAGCGTATGAGAGAGTATGAGAGTGGGTGAGAGGGAATGAGAGAGTATGAGAGTGGGTGAGAGGGAATGAGAGCGTATGAGTGTGGATGAGAGCGTATGAGAGAGTATGAGAGTGGGTGAGAGGGAATGAGAGCGTATGAGAGTGGGTGAGAGGGAATGAGAGCGTATGAGAGTGGGTTAGAGGGAATGAGAGAGTGTGAGAATGGGTGAGAGGGAATGAGAGCGTATGAGTGTGGGTGAGAGGGAATGAGAGCGTATGAGTGTGGGTGAGAGGGAATGAGAGGGTATGAGAGTGGGTGAGAGGGAATGAGAGCGTATGAGAGTGGGTGAGAGGGAATGAGAGCGTGAGAGAGTGGGTGAGAGGGAATGAGAGCGTATGAGAGTGGGTGAGAGGGAATGAGAGCGTATGAGAGTGGGTGAGAGGGAATGAGAGCGTATGAGAGTGGGTGAGAGGGAATGAGAGCGTATGAGAGTGGGTGAGAGGGAATGAGAGCGTATGAGAGTGGGTGAGAGGGAATGAGAGCGTATGAGAGTGGGTGAGAGGGAATGAGAGCGTATGAGAGTGGGTTAGAGGGAATGAGAGCGTATGAGAGTGGGTGAGAGGGAATGAGAGCGTAAGAGAGTGGGTGAGAGGGAATGAGAGCGTATGAGAGTGGGTGAGAGGGAATGAGAGCGTATGAGAGTGGGTGAGAGGGAAGGAGAGCGTATGAGAGTGGGTGAGAGGGAATGAGAGCGTATGAGAGTGGGTGAGATGGAATGAGAGCGTATGAGAGTGGGTGAGAGGGAATGAGAGGGTATGAGAGTGGGTGAGAGGGAATGAGAGTGTAAGAGAGTGGGTGAGAGGGAATGAGAGCGTAAGAGAGTGGGTGAGAGGGAATGAGAGCGTATGAGAGCGGCGGGTTAGCGCATCACGGTGGCGGATCGTCGCAATGCGCCCGGCAGGGTGGCCGCATTGCGCATTGCGACGGCGGCGGCCTGGTCGGCGCGATGCGCGGAGCGGCCAAAAGCAGGACGCAATGCGCATCGCGGCGGCGGCGGCCCGGTCGGCGCGATGCGCTTTGCGGCCCGAAGCTGGCCGCAATGCGCATCGCGGCGGCGGCTGCTCCTGATCGTCGCGATGCATCTCGCGACAATCGGGCCCGATGCATCGGGCGATGCGCTGTTCGGCGCGCCGGTTTGTGGGCGCATCGCGACAGCGGTCTGATCGACTTTATTCATTCATATTAGTAGTAATTTTCGAGTAACAAGGGACTAAACGTGAATGGATGGGGAAAGGCTTTAGGGCTAAGGCACGCACCGTTGATAGACGTCAGGTGCTGCTAACGAACGCCTTGGATGCGTGAACGGGAAGCCAGCTGGCGAAAGCTATAGCTACTAGTAATAGCGTGAGGAATAGCTGATGGCGGGAAGTAAGTTGGAGAGCTGCGCTGGGGTCAAGGTTCTGTACTTGGTTGGAACCGTAGCGGGCAGGGGGGTGTACAGCACGTCGGGTCGTTTTTTTTTTTACCATTGACGTTACGGGGTCACATGATTGTTACTTGTGGCATATTTTCCCGCACAACCACGGTCGAGAGAATATACACGGTATGTAACTGATTTTGTTATATACCAGTCACTTTTGCTGGGTCAAAGCATAAACTCGTCACGGGAACAAGCTTTTTAGCTTCGTAAGGAAAATGATGCATTATTAAAAAAAAAAAAGATGAGCTCACAGCTCATACTAACGGACAACATCTGTACAGTGCCAAAAGGGAGACCACTATATACACATATCCACATTCTAGAAAACGCCAAAAGAATGGAAGTTGGTGGTGGAGCCAGACGGCAGGCGCCATGTATACGGTCATGTGGCAGCGGCCATGTGAAATGCCATGGGCGCTTCCTTCTCCTCCCTCCTCTGCTTCTCCTGGGACCGAAAGAGGCGAGTGAGTGACCCCTCTCGGTTGGCGGGGCGCTGCTTAGGCGATACAGCAGGAGGGCTCCATAACCACGAGGCAGATGGGGAGAAGGGCGAGGGGGCTGGCGTGATAGAAGCAGCAGCGGCAGATGGGACGTGCACCGAGCGAGATGTGCTTGTGGCAGGTGTAACAGCAGCAGAAGCTGCGCTGCTCAGTTGGTCCATCATGTGTTGAATGCGGTGCAGAGCGGTGGTGACGGCTGCACCGCCCACTGCAGCAGCGCCAGGAGTCAGCAGCCTGCTTGCGATCAGCTGCACCCGCGGGTCCAGCAGCGAGGGGGAAGCTACTGCTGCTGCTGCTGCCGCTGCTGCTCGTGAGGCGCCTGTGCTGCTCTCTGCGTGCTTGCAGCACAGCGGCAGCTGCCGCAGCAGGCTAGCCACGGCCACCTCAGACGCACCTGCCGTGCTACCCGCCACAGCCCCCCACACCACCCGCCTCCGCACCACACCATTGCGCACACTCCCCTCCAAGCCACCACCGCCGCCACCAGCGTTGTCAGCAACGCCACCCCCACTTCCGCCGCCCCCAGCAGTGGCAGCCGCAGCAGCGGCGGCGGCGGTGGAGGCGGCAGCGCCTTGCGGGAACCAGAGCTTGGCCATGTAGCGCGCCTTGCGCCAGGGCGCGATGGGCAGCGCGACGGTGAGCAGCGACTGCTGCGCCGCTGCCGCCATGAGGCGCACGAGCGCGCGCAGGCGCGCGTACGACCCCACAAACACGCGCGGCAGCAGCGCCAGCAGCTGCTGGTAGTGCCGCGACGGCCGTGCCACGTGGAACTGCTGCTGGAACGACACGTCGACCACCGCGGACGTGAGCGGCCCGGGGGAGGCGAAAGAGGGCAAGCTGTTACCAGCGCTACTGGCGTCGCTAGCATCACTGCTGCCGCTGCCGCTGCTGTTGCCGCTGCGGCTGCTGCTTCGGAATGTTGGTGGCGAATGGCTGTCTGCTACAGAGCTGGAAGACCCAGTGCCATCATCAGATTTCCCAAGCGACACTTCCAGAAAATGGTAGTGGCCAGGTGGCATGTCCTGATTGGCCGTCCACATGGATTTGCACAGGATGACGTCATGGCCCATGGCGGCAAGGAAAGCGGCCAGAGCCACCCTCTCTGCCGCCTTATCGCACCCGGGGCACGCCGTCATGTCACTGCTGCTCGCACGCTCCCCCTCTACAAATGCCCCTCCTGTCTCCCCCCTCTGCGACTGTGCGACGGCTTGCGACTGCCCATCTGCGTCGCCCCCCGTCTGCGCGAGTGCGATGGCACCCAGCACGTCGTTCACGCTCTCCTCGAGCCGGCTCTCCGCTGCTGTTGCGCCGGACAGGCACTGGCGAAAAGAGAACGGGGGAGGCACAAGAAGAAGACGCACGCGTTAGTGCAAGTTTGTGGATCCACCAAAAAAAAAAAAGACGACGTGAGAGCCCAAAGTTTTCCGCAGGAAACCATCAAAGAGCTCGCATCGTACCTCGTCCCCCGCGCTTACCAGCATCACGGCGTGGGTCAGCTGCTGCCATTCCATCACGTCGTCCGCCGTCTCGCGTCGCTCGCCGGACGGCGAAGCCCCTCCACCCGCCAGCACGTCGCAGAACACGCGGCCCGAGACCCCAGGCAGGTCGTCGTCGTCGCCGCCGCCGTCGCCGTGCGACTCTTCCTCATGGTCGCCTGCGTCGCTCGAAGAAGTCGCTTCCTCCCACTCCCAGTGCGGCTCTGAAAGCCCGTAACTCGTCCAGGCCGCGTCAGCAGGGAGGGCGACAGCACCCGCAGCAGCAGGTACACGCGCGTGGATCGCGGAAATCGACGGATCGCTAGCGGCTCGTGGTAGCGCCGTGCTATCATAGCGGAGGTGCGCATAACGGGGGAAGTCACCAACGCGTTGCTCGCCAGCCGCGGGGGAGGAAACGGCGGAGCGGAACCGTGCGACAGCAGAAGAAGTGTCGGACGACGCGCTGTGCGACCGCAGGTGCAGGTCGTGCGACAGGAACCTGTCGGCGACAGACGCTCGCAGAGGGTCGGTGGCGCTGCTGGTGCGACGGGGAGCGGCGGCGCCAGCGGAAGAAGCAGCTGATGCTGACGTTGCTGCTGCGGCCGCGGCTGCTGCGCGGAGGGGGTTGCGCGCCGTGGACGAACGCACGGGCTGCAGCGTAAGGCTTGATGGCGCCATGAGTGCTTGGTGAGGGAAAGAAGCTTTTGCGTGTAGTGGTGATAGTACTACTGGTGAAGCGCGATGCTGCACTTTCAGGAACGTATTTAGAAGCTTTGGAGAAGGCGGAGCGTCTATATAGCTACTATGACTCTGCGTGACGATACAAGGGTCCTCCAAAATGCTCTTTCAGAAAGGTTTGCCGCAACGTGCGGTGGCTTTAGCGGCGAGAACTCTCGGTTTCACCGTCCCAAAGGTGTGGTGATCTGGCTATTACTGTGGACTCTGAAAGACCAGTGCCTGAATGATGATTAGATCTAGGTCTTCTAAAGACTTATATATCGGCTCATATCAGATTGAGGGCTAGTAGCAGCGGATGGCTGGGGTGGTGGAGTCAATGCAATCCCTTGCGCTTGCTCTCTTTTCGCTGGTCTGACAACGAACCATTCCCCGTTGTGTGGGTCAAGTTCATTGCACTGAGGGAGTGAGTGTTCGCCGGATGAGAGGAGCAGAGTGATCCGTTTGAACCAATACACTGATTCTGGACACACACGACCGGGGGACGGCTTGGAGGGTAGCTGGACGGACTTTGGTTCTCACGGGCTCGATTCAGGTTAACTAGCACCAAGAACGTACGTACGTACGTGGCACCAACCGGTTACCTGTAAGCCTGGCACGCGTTAGCAGTCAAGCGAGACTGTCGAAGTGTGTTCAGTATTGTGCAGTACAGGTATTTTGAGGTCTGGTTATTAGGCAGCCATAGCTTGGACGGAGAGGTAATCGCCAATAGCCACGCGTTGACTGGGTCTGGCCTGGTCTGAACTTATCCCTAGATTGTTTCTGAAACATTGAACAGAGACACTACAAGCTTGGATGTTCAGTTCGAGAGACTGGAGCGAAGAATGATAATGGGCTCCAGACCAGATCAGAATTGGAGGAGATCCCAATGGGCGCGATAACCCTGGCTGATGGTGGTTGTTGCGGATTGCCAGAGCAGTCGCGGGCAGGGCGAGAATGGAAGGGGGGTTGGGGGGAAAAAAAATAGGCGGTTGGTTGGGTGTCTTGGTAGGGGGTTGAGGGGATGCGCGGTAAGGAGGTTGAGGAACAGCGCGCAGTGAAGGGAAGAGGAGGGAGGTGAAGGGAAGGGCAGGTAAAGTGGGATGGCAGACGTATGGTCGCCTGAGGCCTGTTGAGAAGGGACGAGGCGGGTGGTTCGTGGCGGAATTTGGATTGTACACAAGGTGGCTATCCCCGTTTCGGTGGTTCGCGCGCGGCGGAATTCCCTCCGATTCCGCGAACCGCATGCATGCGGCTCGATTCGTTGAATTCTAGCAAATCGCGCGTAGCCTCCCTTTCCAGCCCCGCAAGGGATCCCCCATTCCCGAGTCAAGGGTTCGTCCATGTCAAGGCGTAGCGCATGAACGGTGGGGAGCCTCACGTGTGACACCCACCTCAAGAGCAATTACTTGTTGAATCAGTGACCAGATTCTCTGTACCTAATCGGCACGTAAACGAGATGCAATGCACGGAGCGGAGTAAATATCCAACGCGATTATAGCTTATTAATATATTTAAGCTGCTAAGAATTACTTTCGGTACCAGTACAACCTCTTACAGGGAATAGTACTATAGCGAGAGACCTCATCTACGATAAGACCTCCAAAATCAAGTTGGGCCCAGGTGCAGGGATAACTCGAGTTAGCTAACCAACTGGTATTAAAAGGCATGTTTCTTTGGTGGATCAGCGCAACCATACCACCCCAGGACGACGCATGTGGCCCTTGTTAACACCATTTCAGGCTATTTTAGTCTTCATTTCCAATGCTCCACTCACTTGCAAGCCCACCAATAGGGCACAGAAAGTCTGCCGACAGCAGGAATCGAACCCTGGCACTCCACGGTGACAGCTCCACGATCGCCGACAAGGTTGGCGCCGCCTTGGTCGTCCCCAGCTTGGGGAGAGGCAAACGCACCGTCTGCTTCAGCACGGAGGGGGGGGATGCTCGTGCATTCACTGCGCATGAGTTCCTAGGAGCATGAGCATTAAGTTTGTTGTTAAAGTTATATCATAGTTCTTACTTAGCTTACAGTGAGATGCATCTTAGAGCGTGTTACTACGGATAGCCTCATATCAGTAATGAAAATTCTCAACCTTCACGTTATAAAACACCTCGTATCAGGATTGTACCGAATCAGCGCACCAATCACAGCGCTCGCACAACATCGCTCGAACGTGGAGAATCCCCCGGGCACGGTTCCCTTTAACGAGCAGCCGTTTGCCCTGCGTTTGCGGCCGACGAAGAAGTCTCGGGGGCATTGGTGTGATTGTTCTTACGTGGCACTAGTTTTGCTGTAAATCGAGGCGCGATGTTCAGATGCAGCAAAGCGTGCACAGTGTTGGGTCGCAACAAGATACGTAATCATTGAGTGTGAGTCGCATGAGTGGGTTAGCCGTCGACAATTCCTGATACGAGGTTCTAGCGAGTTGGCCAATTTACAGGCGAGGAGTACCAATCTGCTACGAGGTAGCACTGATAGGAGGTCGTGAGAACACGCTCTTAGGGGGTACAACTTTTCTCTCGTCATTCTACTTGTACCCCCCCTTAACCCAGTCGACACCATTCCTCTCCTCTTAGTTCAACATGGTATTAACAGCGATATAGTCCTTAGGACTGGATTTTTAAAAGGGCCCACCATTCAATTCTCGATCTGCTGCCCGAGTCGCGCCCCTAGGCGCGTCCCGTCTTTTATCCTACCCGAAACGCGCCCCACGCGAGACTATTTTTTTGCCCTAGGCGCGTCCCGTCCCCTAGGCTAGACGATTTTTTTTTTACTGCCTAGTCACGCGCGCCCCTCTGCCCAACCCGCGCGACGCCCTGTCCTGCAGCCCGCACGCTGCGCCCGCTGCTTGCGCGCTGCCCCTGCTGCTCGCGCGCTGCATTTGCTGCCCGCGCGCTGCTTGCCCTGCCCGTCACTTGCTAGCGCGCTGCTGCACCAGATTTGCTACTGCGCCTGAGTTGTTGTTGTTGCTGCTGCTACTTGCTGCATCTGCTCCTCCTTGCTACTGCTACCGCCTGCGCTGTTGCTGCCACTATGCTGCTGCTGCTGCACTGCTGCTAAGCACTGCTGCTGCCGCTGCTGCTACCTGCTACTACCGCCAGAGCCGCTGCTGCCGCCTGCACTGCTGCTGCCATTGTGCTGCTACTGCTGCTCCTGCACTGCTGCTGCTGCACTGCTGCTGCTAGCTGCTGCTAAGCACTGCTGCTACTACATGCTGCTACCGCCAGAGCTGCTGGTGCCGCCTGCACTGCTGCTGCCACTGTGCTGCTGCTGCTGCACTGCTGATGCTGCCTCAACTGCTGCTGCTAAGCACTGCTGCTGCTGCTACCTCCTGCTGCCGCCTGCACTGCTGCTGCCTTTGTGCTGCTGCTTCTAAGCACTGCTGCTACTGCCGAGCCGCCCTGCCCAACACGAGTCGCCCTGCTGCTGCATCTGCTCGGTCTACTGCTCCTGCTGGTGGAGGTGCTACTGGGAGTGTTGGAGGTGCCGCCGCCCAGCCCCACCGAGCCGCCCTGCTGCTACTACTGCTGCTGCTGCTGCTGCTCGTGCTACTGCTGCTGCTGGTGGAGGTGTTGCTGGGAGTGCTGGAGGTGCGACTGGGAGTGCTGGAGGTGTTGCTGGTGCTGGAGGTGCTGCTGGTGCTGGAGGTGCTAGACCTAATAATAACCATCACTGCCTGTCATGGCCGCTCTCTCGGCAGTTGCAGCGGCTAGGGGTGGACATCAGCGGGTACTGCATCTCCCGAACGACCCCACCTATCAGCAGCTTCGTGAGTGGGTTGTTCAGCGAGGCCGTCTTGGTGGTGGAGGTTTCGGTTTAATGTGGCCTCAGCGACCCCGCAACTGTGCTTTTCAGCGATGCGTCCCTGGTTGTGTAGAGGTTGCTGCTCTCGGTTCTAGTGAGTCTGCTGCCGCTCCAGGTGCTGGTGAGTCTACTGCCGCTCCAGGTGCTAGTGAGTCTGCTGCCGCTCCAGGTACTAGTGAGTCTGCTGCAGCTCTTAGGTGCTCGTGAGTCTGCCAACGCTCTAGGTACTAGTGCGTCTACTGCCGCAGGTCCTACCTCAGCTCAGGTCTTGCACACTTTCACGCTTGACTCAGTCGCGTCACGTTGCTTCTTTTGTGATTGCACCACAATCACACCACTCACAGCACCTATCCCAGTCTCACTGGCTGACCCCTCTGGGGGCCCAGTAGTTGCGAGAGCCTCCACGGACCTCCCTTGTCCAGCAGTCCCCTCCGGCTCTCTGTCAGGTCTCCACCTCCCCACGTTCTCGACGAACTTGGTAAGCAACGCTGCCATTCAGGATGTCTAAGTTGATATCTTTATTCCTGGAGGGCAGCGTGTGGCGATCTGTACGTGCTCCCGGACTGGCCGTCACCTGGCTACGTTCACTCGACAACCTGGGTCTAGTCTGTACACACTGACCACTGCGTCTGCACAGGTGGCTGAGTCAGGTCAGGTGGCCACGTCGAGTCGGACGTCTGCGTCGGGTCAGTTAGCTGCGTCCTGCTCGTGCAGAGTACTCACGCACGAGACTCAGCGCTGGCACCACCGTCTTGGTCACCCCTCCCTGCCGCGTCTACGCAGCATGCACTCCCGTCTCCTTGTCTCTGGCCTCCCCAGGACCCTTCCCCCCCTGCCGCGCTCGCTTGCCTCGCCGTGTCTTCCTTGCGTCGAGGAACGGCAGCGCGCCGCTCCTCACTCCTCCGAGTTTCCTCCGACCACCGCTCCTCTGCAGACTCTCCGCATGGACGTGTGGGGCCCGGCCCCCATCGGTGGAACGAGTCAAGAGCGCTACTTCCTGTTAGTTGTTGACGACTACACATGCTACACCACACTGTTCCCCTTGCGTCGCAATGCGGACGTCAGTGGTGTTTTGATCCCCTGGATCCGTGCTACTCGTCTCCAGCTGCACGAGCGTTTTTAGCAGGACTTCCCAGTCCTGCGTCTCCACTCTGACA